ACTTATATCATAGGTTTATATCCAACAGTGGTCAACAGCCTAATGATCTCCGATCAGGACAGTCAACGGATAGTACGTCCACGACTGGCACGTTCAATAAAACATTATTTGATTGGTCCGTGACTAACTCTATTCAATAAAGAAATTAATGATTTGCTACTATAAATACATTTATCATCGTGTTTATAGGTCGAGTTATCTCGCCTACCACAATCTTGATAGTTCGCTTCTGTAAAAACAAATCTTAGTTCCTATCTAAAACAAATTATATATATACATATATATCAATATTAAAACAATTGAGGGAAGCATTTAATTATTTAATTGGGCGAGAAAAAAAAAAAACAAAAAAATCAAAAGAAAAAAACTATAATTTAATTTAAAATATAATTTTGTTTGATTACAGAAATTCTACTTGAACATTGTAATATCAAAAAAACTAGTAATTAACGTTTTAATAATTAAAAGTGAAATAGAAACTATCTTTCTATGTAAACCTAAACCAAACATGACATAAATGTGTCTTTATTTGCTTAAAATATCCAGGATTTTAAATATCAAAACGATAGAACAGAGGCGGATTCTTTTATGTTGGAGGGGGTGGGGTTATCGAAATATTCTTCTTGAGTGGGTGTAATGTAGATATCTCACCAAGCGAAGCGTGGCGAGAAATATTTTGTGGTAAAAGTAGCTAAAACCGCCTAAATCCATCCTGACAACAATCTACAATCACCATAATTCACAAGAAAACGAGATTGAACACGAAAACAAGTAGAACAGAGACAGTTCTCTATCTGGTGTACACAAGCTGACCCTCCATTTTAAAAAAGAAATCAAGCGAATGTTATGTCAACGGTTGCTGGGAAAACTGGTATTACATTCATATTAGTCAATCAAATATATTCATTTTCTTGGGATCCCATGTAATACGCGCGCGGTAGTACGGGTCGGGGGCCTTGACCGTTTATGCATACTTCGGCAAAATTAGGATTTCGAGCAGGATAAGTAAATTTCAAAGATGAAAGCACCCTGCTACATCCACTCAAATCATGGTTCAAAAATCTATTCACAGGTTTCAAAAGCACAACATTAAAATCCTTAAGAACGGAATACAATGAATTACCGGTATATATCTGGTCTTGCCAAGTATTTATATGCTACACATCTGATGTATTCCTTCCTTGTAATTTCATCCCTTCTATTTGTTGTAAATGCCAACTGTTGACGAAATCCATCTTTTCTTTCTCTGGTTTGCGTACAGACGTGGGCATTTCAAAAGTTCTACTGTTGACATAAGTAACGGTCTGGATTTTCTTGATGACATCCATAAAGACATATATGTTAGGGTGGTGCGAATAGATTCATCTGGGAGAAGGGATGGTAGCCCAAAATTTTACAATAGCCATTTACCAGGGTCACTTGATTTGTCTTTGGCACTCATACCACATCTTCTTAGATCTATTTATACTCTGTGCTTAGCCAAACAGACTGGATTTTACTCCTTATGTTTTGAGCAAGATCAAACCGACAACAATCTATTTGGAGGGGACAACAGTTATATACATGTTATAACCGACAATTCATAACATATATATGGCTAACGGAAAAGGTTTAGAATGATGAATAAAAAATAACATTCACATGAAATTTACCTGTACACAATCGGTACAAATGAAAAAAAATTGCGCAAATGAAAGATCGATTTTTTTTTAAAAATCGGTGCAAATGTCATACGCCCATAGTCACCCCGTATAACCCCGATACAAATGAATCCGGACGTTGATGCGTTCGAAGTGATAATCAGTACAACAATTGGGATGACAACAATTTCGAATGCCATTCTAGAACTTGTGTGGGAATCTCTCAATGTGTCTATGTACATGGTAGTTTATCTAATCAATTATACAGTTGTTGCATGTTTCAGATTGTGTATAGAACGTTTGATAAAACTGCTAGACGCAAAACGCACAGACATGGTGCAATTTTCTAAGCTTTATGAGGAAAACAATGTTGAATATCTGTTCTTACATATACTTTTGCGTAGCAATACTTCAAGCAATAATAAATAACTACACGTTAAATTACTAGGTGCATTCAACTGTTGTATATACACACAGAATATACACGATATCATACTAAAGTTTCCTCTTACTGTACCATTCGTTTCACCGAGTGTGTCATGTTCGTTGCTCTTTTATAAATAATCAATGTACAATTCGTTGACAAAAACCGTCACAAATCCCTTACTTTTTAAGGTATTCGAGATGGCATCAGCGACCCTTTTTCTGTGTTTTATTGTAAATTTTATTTGTAAACTTTGTCGAAATAGTAGACAATAAAATTATCAGTCTTTCAAGGCCAACATTGAAAAGCACACATCTGACGGCAATTTTTCAAATGAAGAACTAGGAATTTCAGTGTTATTCCAGATGAAAAAAAAGTTTCAAGAAATATATAATAGCCAATAAAAGTTCTATAACTCTTACTTTTCACAATTTTACTTTTCACAATTTGAGGCCCTTTCAAATGCAGATTTTGGTCAAAGTTAGCTAAAAAACGAAAGCAGCCATAGGATCTCGATGAATATTTTATGTCAAATGAATTAGATCATATTCCAACTGTTTTATTTATATATATATATATAAAAATGTAGATGTGGTGTGATGGCCAATGAGACAACTATCCACCAAAGTTGAAATGAAGTGGATGTAAGCAATCATAGTCCGTCGTACGGCATTCAACAATGAGAAACCCTATACCGTATAGTCGGCTATAAAAGGCCCCGATATAAAAAAAAAGTGAAACAATTAAAATGAGAAAACTAACGGCCTAATGTATAACTAAATAATTAACGAAAAACAAATATGACAGACATACCTTTGTACCACAGGCTCCTAACTTTGGAGAGGTAAATAAATAATGCGGCGGGGTTATACATGTGAACTCTCAACCCTCATTCTAACTCATTCTAACCTGGGACACTGGTGTAATTTCACAACATGATAAAAAAAAAAAACTGCACAAATCAGTTGCAATTGGTTTGACTCAAAATTCGATACGAGGCACAAAAACATCTAATATAAAACAATACACATGAAGAACCGAAATAAGAGTACTTGTAGTTACTGATAGTTATTTCGGAGCCAATTACAACTAAAAGATCAATCATGTTCAAGACTAAAGTATCAATCAGTATATGTCCAATGGATTTAGCACCAAAGACGTCATAGCAACGCATAAACTTTTGCAATGCCAAAAAAAAAAAGTAAACAGTATCGAGAGGATGTACGAGCTCATGAGTTCTCATAAGTGTGCATATTTAGTATTATTTATTTAGTTATGCTTTGATTTTTCAAACACAAATTCAATGTTAGTACCGATAAAACTATATGTAAAGATTTTACTACTGTTGATAAACTTTCCTTTAAGAATATTCTAAAGATTAATTAGTTTACTCGGATCTTGTCTAAATTTACGGGCTATTTAAACAACATCTCCGTAAAAATTGG